GAACAACTCTGTTTTACAGACCATGTGGAATTGTACCAGATCCTGCAGGGCCCTAATGTCTCCTGGAAGACTGTTCCACCAGGCTGGTTCAAGGACAGCTGGCTACTCTTTGGGCTGGGGACTACAAGCAGATTTCGGTCACTCGAGCATAACACTCTATGAGGGTGTACCAGGACAGGTGGCCCCGAAGGCGTGCTGGTCCCTGACCATTAAGGGCTTTGAAGGTCAGCACAAGAACCTTGAACTTAATCCGGTCCTCAATCTGGAGCTAGTGCAGCTGACAGAGCACCAGTTGGATAGGTGCTCTAAAGGGTGTTCCTGTCAACACCCTTGCAGCTGCATTCTGGACCAGATGCATTTTCCAGATCAACGTCAAAGCAAGCCCTATAGAGAGAGTTGCAGTAATCTAGCCTAGAGGTGACCGTTGCATGGATCACCGTGGCTAGGTCAGAGGTCTAACAAGAATAATGCCTGCAAAATTATTTTGCAATGTGAAGATACAGAACGTTTTATTTTGTTACTTTGTGTGAAGCTGTGCCGAGTCAAAATATATATGTGTGGGTTTGATGTGAGTCTGCTAGCATGCCTAACCAACTGGATTACTACCATTTTGGTAGACAAGGGGAGAAATCTCCATTAAAATCAGGTTAAGTGCAAAGCTGGTTGGGTAAAGCAGGATAATCAAGATCTGGTTCAGGGAAGGTGGAGCATTTTTCCTGTTCTTCCAGATAGCCCAGAGTACAGACAAGCATGGCCAACTGAAAGTTTGCCTTTCTAGATGGTAAGAAACTGATAGCCAGTGATAGACCTATCCTCCACGAATCCATCTAATCCCCCTTTAAAGATGTTCATTCCTGTAGCCATCACTACATCCTCTGGCAGCAAGTTCCACATTTTAATCGCATCAACAGTTGCATTGTTCTAGACTACCTTACAGTTTGGAGTTTGAGGCACTGTGCTCCAGTGGTTCTAGTACAACCTAACAGGTTAATCCCAGGTTGTGCTGGGAGACTATTGCTCTGTACTCTGCCATCTATGGATTATTAGGAAAGTGGCTGAAAATAAAATGGCCAATATTATAATGGCCTTGTATGGATCTATGGTGTGGCCTCATTTGGAATACTGTGTGCAGTTCTGGTCACTGGCAGTCTGGGACTTTTCAGTTTAGAAAGGAGACAACTAAGGTGGGGACATGATAAAGGTTTATAAAATTATGCAGAGGGTGGAGAGAGTTGACAAAGAATTTCCCCCCCTCCCCCAAAATTCTAGAATTCGAGGGCATCAAATAAAGCTGCTGGGCAGTAGATTCAGGATGGACACAAGGAAATACTTCTTTACACAGCAAGTGATTAAAATGTGGAACTCACTGCCAGAGGATGTAGTGATGACAACAGAAATAGACAGCTTTCAAAGAGGTTTAGACAGATTCATGGAGGATATCAGTAGCTAATATCTAAAGGGAACCTCCACATTCAGAGGCAGCCAACCTCTGAATCCCAGTGCCAGAAGGCAACATCAGGGGAAGTCCTTGGCCTCTATGCCCTGTCATTGGACCTCCATAGGAACTGGTTGGCCACTGAGTGAACAGGATGCTGGACTAGATGGCCCCCTGGTCTGATACACCAGGGCTCTGTCTTGCACGTAGATGCACAAAGGGTGAACATAGTATGCAGTGCAATCCTAAGAACATTTTCCTCTGGAGTAAGCCCCACTGAATAGACTAGTAAGATGCTGAACAGATTTGTTTAGTAATAACCTTTAGGGGTACTTTTGCCAGTTTTGGTTGGTACACTTGTTTTGGCCCCTCCTGCAAAGGAACGACTTTGCCCCAGTTATCCATGCATTCCTAGGCTAGATTATTATAAAATGTTATATGTTTTTCAGATCCAGTCCGCAACAGAGGGTTAACAGACTTGCCCTGACAAGCATGCTTCCGATTGAGATCAGGGTCCTGTGAGGCGTGTTACGGTTTCACAGGGCCTGTAAAATTGAACTGTTCTGCCAGGCCTTTGGCTGAGGTAGTGGGCATCTACCAGCTGGCTGCTACATGAGACCATCATGGCTCGGTGTTGTTGGCCCACTTATTTTTCTGGCTGTAGAAACTGGAATTAAATGCATTGCAATGCCCATTTTAAATGGTTTAACTGGTTTTAGTGCATTATTTGACTGTAGTATTTTAGATTGTATTATTTATTGCTGTTAGCTGCCCTGAGCCTGTCCGCAGGAAATAAACTGAAGTAATAAATAAATATATAAATACTCTTGCTCAGAAATTGACACTAGCAGGGCTATTTTTGGGCAGGAACGCACAGGAACGGAGTTCCGGCTGGCTCCCAAATTGGCCACACCCAGCAGGAACTCATTAGCATAATAGGCCACACCCAACAGCAGAAGCCCATTAGGATTGGCTACATTAGGGGTGTGTGGCCTAACATGCAAAGGAGTTCCTGCAACAAAAAAAGGCCCTGGGTTTTGACAACAAACAAGGTAAACAGAACAACAAGCAAAAGGTGGATGTGGCTGGATAACCACACTTCTGGTAACATGGGGGTGTGGTCTAATGTGCTAATGAGCTGTGCTGTCAGGGGTGTGGCCCAATATGCTAATGAGTTCCTGCTGTTGGCTGTGGCCTATTATGCTAATGAGTTCCTGCTGGGCTTTTTCTACAAAAAGAGCCCTGGGAATTCAGTTTGTTTCCAGCCACAATTCAAAGTGCTGGTAATGGCATTTAAGGCCCTATCTGAAACCCATGAGTAAAGGACTGTCTTTTCTCTTTTGAACCTGGCCATCATCTAAGACTGTCATTGGAGACTCCTCCCTGGGTTTTCCCACCTCCAGAAATTAGGCAGGTATCTTCCATAAAAAGCTTTTTCTTTAGCTGCATCCTGCCTGTGGAACTTCCAGATATTTACATCTCCCCATCTAATGCCATCCTTTACTGGTCAGTGGCAGAGTTTCTGGTTTAACTGTGTGCATATTCTTTGGTGGGGGTGTTTTAGTGTTTGCCCTGAATTTGTTAAATTTGCATTATGACTATTTAGTTGCCCAGTGGTTTTCTGTAGTTATTTCCTGCTGTTATCATTATTAAAAGTTTCTAGGTTTGGGGGGCAGGGATATTGTTTTCTCGGTTTGTGTGAGCTGTTTAACTGCTCCTTCTGAGCAGAAAGGTTACATACAACAACTTAAAAAGAAAGTATCTACATTTAAAATTATCCATTACATTTACACCTGCTCATTTTCCAAAGAGATATAATAGTTTATACAGCATGCCCAAGCAGTCTTACACCGAGGCATCGGGGGGGGGGGGTCAGACCTGCTTAACTTCAATATTACAGGTGCATCACATACCAATCTGTTGGCATCTAATCAGCAACACAGCAGATAAGGGCACTGACAGTGCAATTCTAAGCACAGCTGGTAGTTGAAAGTGCTGTCAAGTTACAGGTGACTTATGATGACCCCGTAGCGCTTTCAAGGCAAGAGATGTTCAGAGGTGGCTTGCCATTGTCTGCCTCTGCATTGTGACCCTGGACTTCCTCCTTAGTGGTCTCCCATCCACGTACTAACCAGGGCTGACCTGGCTTATGATGAGAGATTATTAGATTGGTGTACCCCCCTGGCCCATCTTGGGCAGGGTCTAAGCAGAGTTACACCCTTCTAAGTCCATTGAAGACAATGGGTGTAAGACAAGGGTATAATTTTGTTTAGGATGGCATCATAAGTAATACACAGCCTTCTTATAACAGTTCAGCTGTATGGCATTTCCAACCCCCAACCCTTCACTTGCCTTTTCTTTTCATATAGGTTTCTCACTCCAGTATAATTATATGCATGACCTCCTCTATCCCAGACTAATTTAATATTCTTTGAAGGGCACAACCCCCACCCCGAAATTGTCCTTTTGTTGTTCAGTCACACAATCGAGTCTGACTCTTCACAACCCCATGGACCATATCACACCAGGCCCTCCTGTCTTCCATCATCCTCCGGAGTTTGCTCAATTTCATGTTTGTTGCATCGATAACACTGTCTAACCATCTCATTCTTTGCCGTCCCCTTCTTCTTTTACCTTCAGTCTTTCCCAGCATCAGGGTCTTCTCCAGTGAGTGCTCCCTTCTCATTTGGTGGCCAAAGTATTTGAGCTTCAGCTTCAGTATCTGGCCTTCCAGGGAACAGTCAGGGTTGATTTCTTTTAGCATTGACTGATTTGATCTCCTTGCAGTCCAAACTGGAACAGTACAATTAAAAACAGAGGCACATGCATACACTAGTAATTCTGCTTCACCTAGAAACAAAAAGGCCCAGCCTATTAAACACAATCACATCCAGTAGTAGAATGATGTCTGAAATAGGAGATGGGGAAAACAACTATGAGGTCACCATCATTGGTATATACCCTACTTTACAGAGCTAAAAATCAAGGCTGCACATGCTCAACACACCTGCAAGTTTCCTATCCAAGTGCAGAATCTTTTATTATTTTTAAAAATGTGTTTGAGAGAATCTGTACAAAAGGGCAAGAGTCTAGGTATGAAGAACAGAGACCCCTTGTACTCTGAACTACATGCAGCATACGGCAACAGATCCTATCTCTTCTTTGTGCTGACCTAACTGCGGGAAATAGCTCTTCCTTAATCCCTCTTCCAAGGCCGGTACAAGAAGCTTAGAAGAAAATTCTGTGCAAACTACTGGTTATATTTGTTTTCAAGTTAGTTGGAAATTGCCTCATGGCTCATGAGCTTTCACACACATTTTGAATTTTCAAAATCAGTAGAAAAGATGGAAGCCCTAGTACACAGGGAGGCCCAACAACAGAGGCTGGAACAGGCAAGGAATATTAGGCTGCAATAAATGTTGGTAGTCTTGAAGATGCCACTGAATTCTTGGTTGTTTTACTACAATGAAGATGTAAACAGCAACTAATTTCAATAGCAAGAAAGCCTTTCTGAAACATCATATAAGCTTTAACACAGTGAAGTAAACACATCTTTTGGCTTTTATTTTTTTTAAAAAGTGAGTGAAGATAAACTGTGGATATTTGAATACGCTACTGTAGACCTATTAAAGAGGTTCTTTAAAAAAATCTTCTTTACAAGGACAATGATCAGTGCAACTTCAAGCTCTAAAAAGAATATCACTATATAAAAATCAATATTGAGGAAATTCAGGATTGATCTTGGTAGCCCAAGCCATAAGCCCCCCTCTGATGTCCTTAACAGAAATTAAACCTAGCCCGGGATAAGACAATCCCTGCAATATTTTCACTGCCTTCTGAGAGTCGTTTCCTAATTTGCAGACAACATAAACTGGGAAAGCTTTATTTTCATTTGACATCTGCCTTGCTTCACATATCCTTTGGCCAAGCAATCTCAGAGAGCCTTCATCTTTTGCTTGCAACTTGTTCAAAGGCACAAAGATAGCCTGCGGCAAACTACATATGTCCACCTCCACTGGGGGACGGACATCTACCAATACATGAGGGACCTCGCTGTCCAGTATCGTTTTGTACTCGTCCACAGACACCCGCTCGTCATTCCTCAAGAGGCATAAGGACCGACACTTGTCAGTCGCGGAAGACCCACAGAAGAGTTCATAATCCTGTAGGGCGGTCACAGACGGGTTGTCACCACAAACTGCGCAATTTGGGTTCCTGGGCCTCAGCTTGATGCGCCGAAAGCCGCCTTCCAAGGCGTCAAAGACCAGCATGGCCTGGCTGAGAGAGGTCCCGATCCCAGCGGCGATCTTGAGCACCTCCAGAGCCTGGAGCGACCCCAGGATGCCCGGCACGACCCCCAAGACCCCGCCGTCTGCGCAGTTGGTGACGGTCTCCGGGGGAGGGGGCTTGGGGAAGAGGCAGCGGTAGCAAGGCCCCCCGCGGTAGCCGTACACCGCCAGCTGCCCCTCGAGCCGCAGGGCGCTGGCCGACACCAAGGGCCTCCCCGCCAGCACGCAGGCATCGTTGACCAGGTAGGGGGTGGGCACGTTGTCGGAGCAGTCGGCCACGAGGTCGTAGGCCCGCACCAGCTCCAGGGCCGTGTCCCGGCCGAGGGCCAGCTCGTAAGGCACGACCTCCACCGCGGAGTTCAGCTCCCTCAGAGCGGCGGCCGCCGAGCGGGCTTTGGGGCGGCCCAGGCGGCTCTCGCGGTGCAGGACCTGCCTGTGGAGGTTGCTCAGCTCCACCACGTCGTGGTCCACCAGGCCCAAGCGGCCCACGCCGGCCGCCGCCAGGTACTGCGCCAGCGGGCAGCCCAGCCCGCCGCAGCCCACCACCAGCACCGAGCAGGCGGAGAGCAGCAGCTGCCCGCGCACGCCGGCCTCCGGGAGCACCAGCTGCCGCGCGTAGCGCTCGATCTCCAGCCGGCTCAGCTCCGTGCGGAGGGGAAGAGGAGGGGGAATCAAAACCTCCTCCGCAGCCGTCGGCCCGTCGTCCTCTGGGAGCCGCGCCGTCTTTCCCGCGCCCGCGGACATCGCCGCCCCCTCTCAGCGACCGCCGCTTCCCTCAGACTCAGGGAGAAGGAAACTATGGATTATGGATCCGAAAGGAGCTCCGCGCGGCGGGCCTCGCCTCTTCCGTTTCCGTCGCAGGCGCCGAGGCGAAAGGCCCCCCGCTTGGCTGGTTGGCACGCAAGCGCCGTCTCCGCCGTGGCTGGGTCCGAGGGTCGCCGCCATCATGGCCGCCTCCCGGGACAAGTACTCGGTGCTGCTGCCCACCTACAACGAGCGCGAGAACCTGCCGCTCATTGTGTGGCTGCTGGTGCGGAGCTTCCGGGAGAGGTGACGACTGGCGGCTGGGAAGGGAGGCGGGTTGGGGGGGAGCATTTCTTTCTCCGGGCCCCCGCGAACAGATGGACTGAGGTTGTGAATTCAGGCAAATGCTACTCAGGATTAGTTAATCCGGTTCAAGCGAGTACTCAGAGCCCTCTGAAGGCGATGTAGGGGATTAGTCTCTCCATTCCGCACTTCACTGTGTTGGTTGCGTAAACGGAGGGAGAGAAGGAACTATCAGCTTCTTGTGATTCTAATAAAGTGGGTTCGAGGGTGTTTAAAGGTAAAGGTTCCCTTGCTCGAAAGCCAGTCGAGTCCGACTCTAGGGTTGCGGTGCTCATCTCCGTTTCAAAGCCGAAGAGCCAGCGCTGTCCAAAGACGTTTCCGTGGTCATGTGGCCGGCATGACTAAACACCAAGGTGCACGGAACACTGTTACCTTCCCACCGAAGTGGTACCTATTTATCTACTTGCAATTTCTTGCTTTCAAACTGCTAGGTTGGCAGGAGCTGGAACTAGAGATGGGAGCTCACTCCATCATGCGGCACACCCGGGTCTCGAACTGCTGAACTACTGACCTTCCACAGCCTGCAGTTCAGCGTCTTAACCACTTGAGCCACCGCAGCTCCTAGAGGGTGTTTAGGGGTCACTAAAAGCGAGTTAGATGGTCTCGACATGCTGAGGTTTCTCGGTGTTTAATGGGCAGGGAGACCGCAGTTCAAATTCTGCTCCGTTGTGGATCTCGCAGGGTGATCTTGGGCCACTCATTTTCGGGCTACCCTTCCTTGCAGGGTTGTTGCCAGGATAAAATGAGGTAGGTTGATCTGAGCTGCTTAGAGGAAAGGGGGAATAAAATGAAGCAAATAATTACTTAGGTGCCCCTCTTAAAATTTATTAGGTTAGCTCATCATATGTCTTTAGAATGCGTTTCTGGCATGATAAATATAAGCAGGAATCTTGTGGCACTTAAAAAAAAACCCTTATTAACAGGTTTTTCTCCAGCATGAACTTTTAGGAACTAGAACCCACTTTGTCAGACTAAGTTGTTTGTTTTTTTTAACAAGAAAAAAAGGCTTTAGTGTAAGGTTGGGAGGGCTTCTAATGTCCTGGTCCCACTGGTGGACCTCCTGATGGCACTGGTATTTCTGGCCACTGTGTGACACAGAGTGTTGGATGGGATGGGCCTTTGGCCTGATCCAACATTGGCGTCTCTTATGTTCTTATATTCTTATGTTTATAGCCTAGCTCCCACTTCATCAAATACATGAAATGAATCAAACATGGGTCTTTTGTGTTTTCTTTTTTTGTAATTTAAATCTAGTAATGATTTTTAAACAGTTCAGTCTAACCTATATTGATTGGGAATAAATGCATAAACTCCATTGTTGGATAGGTTATTATTATTATATAGGCTTTGGTTTCTCAGGACCAATTCACATGATTCTCTGAGGCCATGGAAATTATGGTTTCACTCTCTATCGATGTTCACCTGATTGTGTATGATGGCTTCAGTGCAACCACTTGGCAATCAGAGACATGATTTTGGCACTTGATCACAATCACTCAGAAAGATGTGTTCAATACTGATGGGGGACAATCAGTTCTGGTAGCTTAGTAAGAACATTTGTGGGCTTGATAACATTTGTGGGTTTATTTGCTAGGCTTCTTAAAGACCAGTTCATGTGAAATCCAATGAGGATTTCTTTTAAAAAATTCCCAGTTTAATTCTTCAGTCTCTTCTGTTGGTGTTTTGGCTTTTGCATGTTAAATCAGGCTTCTCTGTAGCCTTTCCTAGGGTCTCCTGTCAAGGATTGCCCACAGGAAAAGAAAAACTTGCAAGTTATTCCTTTCAAATCATAGAAATGACTGCAAGCACAATCCAAAGCAAGTTTACTCCCACTGTATTCAGCAGAGCTTGCTTCCAAATAAGTGTATAGACTCTCAGCCTAACAAGGATGTGTAAGCTGGCAACATTTGTGCACTTTCTGCAAGTGTGTGCTAAATTGCCATTAAATATTGTCACATAAATGAAGGCAGCTACTGGGGAAACAGCCTGACCCCGAGAAAGAGTTTGGCACCAGTGGCCCGCAGAAAGGTGTCCGAAAATCCATTGCAAGTTTGTTTGTGTGAAGACTGGCTTGGAGAAATGGCCCCTTGTGAAAAAAGCAATCAGACAACTCTTAGTATCAGCTCATCTCTATTGCAGTAACTTCTAGCAATAAACTGAAATAGTAGCAGCCTACTACCACGTACAAGGGCTCTTTTATTTGCCATAGTTTCATAATAGTTTCCATACAGAGGAAAGAGTAGTAGGTTCAAGGGATCTTATCTCTAGCGAATGGGGCACTCATCCTTTGATTTTGAAAAGCTGATAAGACTTCTGTGTATCACTTTGCAGCTTTATAGAGAAGATCGAACCACGGTATCTGTTCTTATTAGTTTAATATCTGATATACTTACTTCAAGAGCTGCATATTAAATTGATAAATAAGTCATGATAGTATTGCAGAGTGACTTTTTTAACCTCCTTCCCTCTTCCCACCCCCATACTGTAAGCTTTGTGGCAATATCCGATATGTTCTGTAGTTCTGGAAATGTTAATGCCACAGTGTGATACAGCGAACCACCATAGTGAATATTCTGGAGCACCAGGTGTGTGGACTTATCCCTCTGTTTGTTAAAGGCTGCTATCCCTGGTGTAACACTAGCATTTGCATACCTATACCACTCACCTCTTGGATAACCTTTTCCACCGCTGGAGTCTTTAAGGCTACAAATATGAGTCTTTAAATTGTGGAAGAGGCGGGAAAAATTGGGAATGGTGACTTTAACAAGAGCACATCATTAACTCTATGTTTTTTAATTTATTTTAAAATACATAACACTGGGGATCCAGTTACTTAAAGGTTCATCTTCGACTACCTGAACCTGAAGTGGCAATTCTGGTCTGCTTCATAATCCCTTTTTATAGATACATGAGAACTGCCAACTTGCTGGTTCTCAGGCCTTTATAGAAGCTGCCCCTCTTTTATGGAACAGTCTGACTGTAAGGGTCAGGAGAGCGTCTACCGTCCTGTCTTCCAGGAGACTATATATTTTTAAAAAATCAGGATCAAATGGCCATGAAATGCAACACAATTCTGTTTCTTTAAATCTTCGTAACCTCATACAAACCATAAATATGTCGACTGAGGATCTGTAACTTATATCTGACAAAGTGGTGTCTAGTACACAAAAGGCTATGGTAGAAGAAAAATTTGCCAGCCTCTAAGATACCACAAGACTCATTTTTGCCGGAGTTGTAAGGTTGCCAGCAGGCCTGGAGAATAATGTTCTGTTCCTTTGAGACTACTAGTGTAGAACTGGGCAGATGAAGCTTTTCTCAGCATGAAGGTAAATAGCATCTCATTAAGCATCCATTTAAAGGGACAGGGCATTTTTTTTCTCTAGTCAGTCGGCAGCACTATGCAGCTGCTCCTCTGGAATTATTGTTGCAGAGGGATATTTCATTTATGCTCTGCTTGTGCATGTTCCAGAGCACTTCCCAGTGGTATGCAACTGACTGCTGTGAGAAACAGCCTGATCCTACTGGCTAGTGTTGAACATGCACGGCCCAGGTGTTTACCTATGCTTCACTCACAAAAGTCATATTTGTTGATTCAAGACCCAGAGTTATGTTCTTTGAATTTGCTTACCAAATGACGAAATCAGTAGAGTTTAATTGAATATGTACACGGACTGATGACTTCAGCCCTTGCCAGTAGCCTTGGAATCTCTGAAGGTTGCAGTCTTCAGAGAACAAAGCTGTTAGCCTGTCTAGGGCTGATTATGATGATTTGGCCGTGCACTAGTTCTTGTAACAGGACTGCTAAAATCGGACTCTAGCAGGATACGATATTCTCAAGTCCTGGAATTGGAAGTGAAGGTGATGGACAGTCATCTTTTCTCCAATAATTTGGGAATCTTATGCTATGAAGCAACTTGATTCATTTTTGAGGTGTTCGAGTGAAAGGTGATAGCATTAATGACAGCATTTACCTTTGATGGGGAACGGGCATTCCCCCCTCCCCGTGTCCCTTTCACAACTAACTCGCGAAATGATACAATTTTCCAAACTAGCTTTACAAGCTCATTCTCTTTTTCAGTGGCAATGACTTTGAAATTATAGTGATAGATGATGGAAGCCCAGATGGGACACAGGAAATTGCTGAACAACTGATAAAGATTTATGGATCAGACAGAATTGTAAGTTGTGTGTTGTTGTTGTTTTTGCCCTATCTGCTGAGCTGGTAGAACAAAAGCCATTCAAAATTATTTGGAGCGGTATCGGGATTCTTGGTTTTGTTAACTGAACAAACTAACCTTTGCTCTGTGGTTTCATAATACAGGAGGTGATACTTATCGAAGAGGGCGTATTTTTAGATGTCATAAATTAAGACCTTCTGCTGCAGCTCTCCATCTCACTGTTAAAAGTTGTACATGATTTTAGCGTTGCTTTTACGACGTTGTCAGAAGATGATTTAACAGCTAGTTCCCAAGAGTAAAGTCTAGCAGGCATGGTTTCTCCCATCATTGTAGCATGTACTTGGACATCTGCAGGACTGAAAGAGGGGACTCAGATCACGTGCTAGCAGTTCTCTTCATTAATATATTCACATATTGGGGGGGGGGACAGAAAGACAGGGCAGGTTAGAAAGGTATTTAAAATATATCTTATATCTAATAGTAGAGATGGGGCCAACCTGTGGATATCGAAATCCACGGATCAGGCCCATTGACACTGAGGACAGAGAAGATGCTGTAGGCACATTACCTGGCTTTGACTTAGACAACGCCCTTGGACCTGGCACTGCTCTCACAGACGAGAGACAGGTGGTTGGGTGAGGGGGCTCCAGCACTGCTGCCTCAGCTGCCCTCCCCAACTTTTCCCTTGGCTGCTGAGAAGGCCAGGCAGAGAGGTGTGGGAAAGAGAAGGCCTGCCTCAATAGAAGCCGTTTACTGGCCTGGCTTATCCTTCCCTTCCTTATGGACTCCCAGCCGGGTGCATTGTCCCCTGGTCAAGGGGGAGGAGGCGGCTGCAGTGGAATGGAGAGAACAAGACAGAGAGAGTGTGTGCAATTGTGTCAGACATCTTTGGGGGGACAGAGCAAGAAAGAGGGTGTGTGCATTTGACAGAAACTGTTGGAGGAGAAAAAACGAGAAAGAGAGAGGAAAAGTGAGAGAAGGAGACCTCTATACCGAAGCCGGCATTTGACCTCCCCCCCCTCCATGGGGGTGGAGCTTTGCACAAAGAAGAGGAAAAATCTCTTCCTTCACTGCAGGTTTCTCTACTGCTTCACATCCCCTTTTCCACTTTGCTCCTTCCTTGAAATCTCCTTGCTTTTTAAGGGTGGCCAGCATGCTCCCCAGGGGCTGCATTCAGCACTGCAGGGTTCCTGCCATAGAACAACGAAGGTGATCTCCTCTGCATGGAGAAGAAGGTGGCAGGGGAGGAAGAAGGGGGAGAATGGCAGTAGAGTGGCAGCAGGAACCAGTTGGGGGTGGGAAGAGAATGCTCCCTCTAAACTGTGGAGTCTTGAGAGCAAAAATTCTGCTTTGTGAGCTACTGGCATTACAGTTGTGAGTGAGTGATTCGACTGCTGCATAAATTAGTTTGCTCTGGAGCCATCCTTCCTGAGCTGAGACAAAAATGTGTGAGTCTAAAAAAGGCTAAAAAAACTGAGCTAGTTCACACTAACTCAGCTTAGAGGGAACACTGGCCATGAGTGTGAGCCAGGCAATGGTGGTGCAGCACGGTGGGTAGCCAGGTTTGCTGGGCAGGCATGAGAGCAAGTGAGTGGGCAGGATGAGAGACTGCACAGTTGAGTGAGCCCAGGAGGAGGCAATGAGCGGAGTGGGGAAGATGAGAATGAGGAAGGGTTGAAAAAGGGATGAGTCGGGGAAAGGTAAGTTGTAGTGCTAAAAGGGAGGGAATCAAAATAAAAGGAGGGGATGAGATTCTCCGTGAGTCTCATGGGTTCCCTGTACAAAGAGTGACAGAGGGGAACAGTGACGGAGAAGGGTGGGGAGGAAAGGGAGAGGCGAGGAATGAAAGGCAGGGGGAGATGAGACATTCCCCCCCCCCCAGCAAGTTCCTCCTGGGTTACAGCTTGTTATCGTATAAATCAGATAATTAAAATAACAAATAATTTAAAAACTAATTCGTACTGTTAAAGATCGTAGCCTTTTGAAGTACAAAACTTATTAACTGTAGTACACTTTTTATTATCGAAGAGTTACAACGAATTATTTAAGGAGAATTTTTACCTATTTACAATGGGTACGTTGAGTATTTAGCCGTTAAAAATGGCATAGCATAAGAAAGCCAGTGCGCTTCATTAAATGAGATTAAGACAACTGTACACAGTTGTGACCTTGTATGGACAAAACTAGGCAAATAATTACCCTTTCTCTGAAGAAGGGTAGTTTAGTTAAAGTTACTGGCAAAGTGCCTGACAGATTCTTTGGTGGTCAAGTCTCCCCTGTTTTTCCTAGATGCATGACAGTGAGAACTTTTAATGTGTCACACGTTCCCTGTTAGAGTACTCTAGGGGTCAGAGAAACTATAGTTTCATGAAATTAACCCTTTTAAATACCTGCTGGTAGGATGGATACCCTATTATGCGGAAACTGCCAGCATATTCTGAATGGGAAACTCACTTACTGATTAGGTTTTTCAGCAGAGACCAACTGTATCTTCTAAAGTTATTGACAGCTCTTTGAAAGCAGCGTCTGTATCATTCATATTTTGAAGACAAATTATGTGCAAATATTTAACAATCCTGCTTAAGAGAAGAACAAACTGTGATAATGTTGACATTTTACCTAAATAAAGGAGCTGTACATAGTCATGAGTCATGGAACACAGTTAATACATTATCTGTTTTGTCTCCCACTCATTTACAGCTTTTAAGACCCAGAGCAAAAAAACTGGGATTGGGTAAGTATTCGTTTAAGTTGATGATGTAGCAGTTTTAATTATAAGTTTTCCTGTTTTCGTAGTTAAAAATTCGATACATAAATATAAATAGTTGTGTATGTGTACTTGCAAGAAATTGCAAGTAGATAAATAGGTACCACTTCAGTGGGAAGGTAACAACGTTCCGTGCACCTTGGTGTTTAGTCATGCCAGCCACATGACCACGGAAAAGTCTTCGGACAGCGCTGGCTCTTCGGCTTTGAAACGGAGATGAGCACCACAACCCTAGAGTCGGACTCAACTGGCTTTCGAGCAAGGGAAACCTTTACCTTTGTTTCTCGTTAGTTTTGGGAACTTGAGGAAGCTTTATTATATTAAGGTGTAGAAGTAGATGTGTTAACTTTTCAATAGCATATTTCAACACAGTTAAATTACAAGCAGTTCCTGTACGTTTAAACAGGTAATTAGGCTGCAATCTTAACTCCATTTTCTTCAAATCTGTTGGATTTAGGGGGGCTGATTAACACAATCATTGAGCTTTTAGTGGTTGCCTGAAATTGAAATTGCCGCATATGTATTTCTAACCAGTGGTTGGCTAAAGTAGCTTTGCTGATTGACTGAAGAACAATTTAAAAAATGCAGACCTCTTCTGTCTCCCATATGGTGATTGCACCAGCCCTGTAGTGGACCATTCACTCAGTAGCACTAACCATTCCTTGCATGCAAACAGTTGCCTAGGCTAAGTCCTGTTGATATACAGGCACATGAGGGTGGATAAAATGTTAAGGCTGGGTCAGGTAAAAATATAGTAAAATTTTTGCAGTTCTACTTTTTTGTAACTTCAGCTTCCTTTACGGAAGTTGCTTTTGTGTCTTTGTATTTTCTGTGAAAGAGCCTGTGGTCCTTAAAACTTGTTTTTGAGTTAAGGAACTCACATTTCACTCTTCCTAAATCTACTTCTCTCATTTCTGTAAGTGGTTAGACAGTGCTAGATTTGTGTTGTTCATCACATACATTTCTGTGACCAACATGAAATGAATCATGATTTAATACTAAAAAGGGAATACCGTGTTTTGCCAAAATGTTGGCAAAGAAAAAGGGCAGATGGTTTTTAAAACAGTAAATCCTGCATAATGAGAACGTTTATCAACTACAGACACACATTTCTTAGATGACGGGTATATAATATAAATTATATAGGATTTCTTTTTCAAAAATGTTTTGAATCTCAGGCTTTCATTTAAGAACTGAAAGTCATTTAGGGAAGATCTGACTAGATTTCTGGAGGAGTGCTGTAATGATTATGCATCGTGAAATAAATAAAAATGGACGTTGAAACATCTAAAGGAAGGCAAGAAGACTATTAAATTGCTCTGTTCATATCTGTTCCCATAATGTAGGAGTCAAAGTTAGATTTGAGTCCAGTAGCACCTTAGAGACCGAGTTAGAAATACATGGAGATGATTGCATCTAAACCATTTATGTACATTGTTCTGTATGTGGATGACAGAAATGGCTTTTGTGCTGTTTATATTAGGGACTGCTTATATTCATGGAATGAAGCACGCTACAGGAAACTTCATTATTATTATGGATGCTGACCTCTCACACCATGTAAGTTTGCCCTGTGAACGTGCATATGTGTTTCTAAAAGTTTGATTTATTCAGCTTGCATTGATTTGGAATATTTCTGTGTTTCAGCCAAAATTCATTCCAGAATTTATCAGGTGGGTATTTTTACTATTGCCAAGTCTTTCAAAGTAACTGCCTTTATGTATTATATACAATTGAATTATGCACATCAGAGATCACCAGATAATTGCATGCTATTGGCACCATGTTGCAAACTCCTTCAGTTCAAAAGTTGCATTCTCAGGTTGTATGTACTTTAAATGTGAAGGTCAGCCTAGACCACTTGGGTAGGCGGGGCTGTGGCTTAGTGGAAGAGCATCTTCTTTGCATGGCAGAAGGTCCCAGGATCAATCCCTGGCATCTCCAGTACGTGAAATATCTCTATCTGAGATCCTGGACAGCTACTTCTACTTAGAGTAGACAGTAGGGGTCCTGAGCTGAAATAATAGCTGGAAAATACCTTCTCTGTATTTATCAGCTATTCTTTCAGCTGGATATAGAGGGGCATGTATTTTCAGCTGTCGAGCATAGCCAATCCCAGATAACCCCCCAAAAAATTTGGGATTACCCAGAAAATAGGATAGCTGCAGTTAAATGGTGCTTAAAGAGAGTGCACTCCCTTTAAACACCGCTCTGAGTGAAGCTGCAGCTTCACAAATGTATTTGAAGGGACCAGTGGGCAGGGCAGGATATAAGACGAATGAATAAATTAATAAAAATACAGACCACTATACCTTTAAATGCCTTCGACCCCATTATAACCTATGTTGAGCTGGCATTGTCACAGTAGGTGGTTGAGTACCAAGCAGAACCAATGCCACTGTGAGGGCTCCCACCCTACAGCTAACCACCCTCACCCCAGCCTGAGTACCAGGTGGTGTGGGTGATCAGCAGCAACTCTGCAAGAGCTTAAGGGCAGGGCTGTGGGGGCTCCCAGCATGAAGTACCCCCAGGACAGTTCCTCCAGAGGCCCTGTGACTAAGACAGCCCCGAATGCACTTTCTTTTCACTTAGTCTTTCACACACACACACACAAAAATCACGGTAGGACAAATTTTGCATTACAAAAATTTGATCCTGCTCTCATTATTTTGACCAACAAAAAAGGGAAAACTGTGCAAAACCTATGTCAAACAAAAATGAATAAACCTTCTTAAATATTAAATATTTATGGGGAAAGAGATTTTAATCCAGTAAACGCAAATTTTTAAACAAGCATTGTTGTAGACAGGAAAAAGCAAGTGAGCCACAATTCCACCAAGAACGCTTCACAATAACAGAGCATTATGATCACTCTGGTATGAACAGTCCAAAGATCTTCATTCCACACAGAATATGAATTTAAATCAGAATAACAATCTTATGTTTCCTGCAATGTATGTACTTTGGATTCAGTAAATTTCAGCTAGCATGTTGCTTTGAAGGGATCTTGAAGTCATGCAAAGACAAAGAAGTTGGGACCGTCAGCATCAGATCATCTGTCAATTTTTATTTCCTTTTCCCATAAATATTTAATATTTAGGAATGTTTATTAGTTTTTGTTTGACATAGGTTTTGCCAAGTTTCCCCTTTTTTCGTTGGTTCTAGACTGTGTATCTCACTTTGGTTTTGGTGCATTATTTTGTCAGCAATTTACCATAAATCACAGAAATGTGAAGCAATTCCAACCACCACTAAACACATTATGTTTGTAAATTGCACAGTTCCTAATTTTGAACATTAATAACGCTATCACAACTGCTAAGAGACTGGTGTTTGCTATCCATGACAAACACTGACCAGTTCCCTTTGTTTAAGTGGAGTTTGTAACTAAGGTCTGAAGTGGGCCTGCAAAGCCTAGTTCAGAGGGCGTACTGATTAACCTGAATCATGGTTAGTGCCACTGTAGGTGCAGTGAGAAACTGGTTATGTCAAAGAAGGAAGGGAGATGGAGTGTACTCAGAATGCCAACAGCTTTACATCTGCAGCAGCGTGAGATTTGAACCAGCTGTTGGTTCCTCCAAGGAACATAATGTAACATATGTAGAGAGAGTTATCCAGTTTTATAGCCTCATAGCTGTGTTTTCTTATATATTGCATCAGACACTTCAATAATGATATTCTATAATATTCTGTACCCATAAGTCAGTAAGAATACGCTGCATGGCAAAGTCTTAAGTCAAGACTCAGACAAGTTACTGGATTTGGTTTTATGCCATTATTGACATATTTTAGTGTTAGAACAAATGTGTGCTCAGTTGGATGGCAGCCATACCTGCTTTTAACATAACATTGTTGACCTAGATTTTTGTCAATTGCTTTTTCTCCTCCTTCCTGGTTTTTATTTCTACAGAAAGCAGAAAGAAGGTAATTTTGACATTGTGTCTGGAACTCGGTATAAAGGAAATGGTGGTGTTCATGGATGGGATGTAAAACGGAAATTGATCAGGTTAGTAGTTTTATCCAAGTGTGTACATGTCTGAAGATATTTTTGTGTGTCTCCTGTTTATTTCAGAGGAAACTCTTTTCAAGGATAAGCTGTCGTAATGATTGCCAAGAGCGTAGCCACATTCCATGCATTGTGTGTATGAAAACTAAAACCTAGTTGCAGCAAAGCCTTATTCCTGCATCTTGATGCTCATGATCCCATATACACCTTTTGAAAGCCATTTTCTTCTTCCATTAGGTGATAGATCTTGTTCTGCTATCCTTTGCCTTTATTTCCACAGTTGGGCGAGGTAGGGTTTTTTCTCTCTTTGAGCAATGAGTTTCAAAACTTTTTTTCAAATGGGCATTAGGGGATCTCAGGATACACAGATCTGGAAGCTGCAAATCTGGACTAGGAAATAAATTTAATTTGATTTTCCTGATCCTATATCCTGACAGTTTTGGAGTGTTTGGTTTACCCTTATACCGTGTGAACAGGAGTTTGGTCAGGTGTATTTGTGCAAGAGTGAAAAAATATTTGACTTCTGGATACTGGCTGCATATTGCAAAAGGAAAAAGTATGCACATGAAACACTGCAAATCATATAAAGGAAAGACAGTTCAGAATGCAGCATGTGAGATCAATTGAAGTCAATGTGACTACTCATGAGTGAATTTGCATTGTAGTATCCTTCATATATTTCTGACAAATAGTTGCTACATGGGTAAATAGATTTTATTACTGTTGACATTCTTTTCCTAGGCATTCCCTGTGGGAGTGTGGATTAGGGGTGTGAAAAAATAATATTTTTCTGATTTGGGTCTTTTGGACCTGAAAAATATCGGTATTCCTGAATATGCGCACATCCCAATATCGATATTGTATTGGGATCCAGATAAAAATTCAGGAAACCCAAATTTATTTGGCTTCATCATACCCTATGAGGACTGTCCCTGTAAGGTATAATGGCGTTCAGAAGGCATTTAAACTTCAAATGCCCTGAGTTCACTTGTTGAATCGCGCCGCAGCAGCGGCACAACTCAGCAAGTTCAGAAAGCATTTAAACTTTAAATGCCTTCTGAGTTCCCTAACAGCCAGGCAGGTGAGCCCGTCTGCTGTTAGGCTTTCATGGCTAGAATCCAATTCATCGATCCCTTTTGCTCCCCCCCGCCTGTCCCCATATATCCCTTGGAGAGCCTTGCACTCCGCTGATCAATCCCTACTCATTAACCCTGGCTCAAAGGATGTCCACTTAGCCTCAGCCAGGGCCTTTTCTGTCCTGGCCCCTACTTGGAGGAACATGCTCCCACGAGATCAGGGCCTTCCGCAGGGCCTGTAAAACACAGCTGTTCCGCCAGGCTTTCAGTTGAAGCAGTGGACACCCAATTAGTTGGCCTCCCTGCATAGAGGTTGCCCTGACTATCTGCCCTGTGCGGAGTCCTGGTATTACATGAGCTTGGCGTGACTCCAGTTACCATCAGTTTGGCTTATAGAGGGTCTGAACTGTTACATTTGATTCGCCATCTTTTAACTGTTTAATGGTTTGAGCTGTTTTAAGAATTAACTGTATTACCTGGTTTTAGTTGTTCATGCGCTTTGTGCATGAGCTCTGAGCTCATTTGGGAAGGGCAGGATATTAATTTAACAAACAAATAAATACCCAAAATACCGAGCGCACACCCCTAGCATGGATGCCCCCATAAGATATAATCATACTAATTTTGCCCTAATTTTTTATAATAGGTGTTCCAAAAAATGTTCTTTCAGGCATGTCCGAAAGGTGCCACCCAATCTATTTTCTGTGAAAAAGTAGTTCAAGTCAACAGACATGCATGTACTGACTGTTGCACTTGAAGGCACCTTGTGCCATGTTTCTACAGATCTAGTAGTCTTAGAAACAAAATATGATGAACACTGTTGCCTTGGATTCTTAACAAAAGTGAAAAGTGCAAACAGATTTAAATATGCATGGGTTAGTTCCCAGTGATCTCGTTATTTATTTTATTATTTATTTAGAAAATTTATATTCTGCTTCTCCAGAGAAACATATAGCCCTGCAATTCCTGATTTCAGGTTCTAGTACCTTGTACAACTTTTTCATGATCATCTCAAAGAGCTTGGCTTTGTAAACATCAGTGAAATCTGTCTGAGAGAACAACTACTTACATTCCTCCCATGTTGTCTTGAGGATAAAAGTTATGAAGGGGTTGTGCTTCTAACCAAAGAGATATGTATGGTCCCATACACAATGCTGATGTAAATAATAATGGTTAAGGTTTTATAAATGGATAGCGGAACATAACATATTAAATTCCTAGACTTACAGCCGAATTTAAATGGAATATGAGCTACATATATACCTGTAAACCAAAAGTGCTTATTAACATTATTAAATTTACAAGGTATATAAAAGAAATGAACTCTTTAATTACAGTAGGAGGTCAAATGATAACATGAAAAAAATGATATAATGAATCTTTCTCAGTGTTTTTATGTTTCTATGTTTGTATGTTGTATGTTGATTGTCTGTTTTATATGTATTAAATTTTTAAAAAATTGAAAAAAAGGGTGGGAAGTAAATAATAAATTATGGAGTCTATCTAGCCTGAGAGCAGAGATTCTTCTGGATGATGTGTCTCTTGGTTCCTTTCACAATAACAGGGCAACTGTGCAGACTTACTTGTGAGTAGTACAGTTGGCCTGGCATGACACGGTCCACTGGGTTGCATAGAGTTAGACTCGACTGTACGACTGAACAACAACAACAACGAAGTACAGTTGGCTTCAGTGGGACTTCCTTGTACCTGAGCTGCATGAGTGTGTTTCCTAGGTGGTTGCAAACAGCCATCTGCATGCAGCTTCTACCTGCGATACCAGATTGGTAATCGGAAGTAATATATTCTGGCCCTGCTTGATACTAAAACTCTTGAATGAAGCTGTTCCCCTTTTTTAAAAAAACTGGAGAATTCTGTTCTGAGGGTCTAAGTACGTGCAATGCTGAGATTTCCATGTCTGACCCTCCTAAGAATTTGTTTTCCTTTTAAATAACAAGTGTGCAAGGCTCTGATATGGATTAGGATTGTGGTGAGGGGGGAAGGAAGGTTTCCCACCTGCAGTCTCGATAACCTTTGAATTTCCCCAGAGTTGCTGTTTTCCCCAAGAGAACAAGTAGCAGTGCCATGGGGCTTTTTAAAATTGGGAAAACAGCAGGGCGGGAAGGGTTAAACTCTCTTGTCTACACTGCAGTCCATATTTGAACTGGGTCCCCAAGTGTTTCATTGTTTAAAAGAAGAAAAGGCTTGGAAGCATCAGACACAGAGTTTGCACTCAGTAGTTAACCCAAACCAAACAGTGAGAGGACCATATACCTGTAAAAGTGTCATTGAAGAGAAAATTCCATAAACTGTGGGGAATTTCAGACAGGTGCTATGTCCCGGTAGGGAACCGATTCTCAACCGGGTTGTGGTCTGTCATTTCAGACAGAACCCGGTTAGGAATTGGTTCCCTACCGGGATCTAAGTGGCATTTCAGACTCAGAAGCCTCTCTTCCGTATAGGAACCGGGAGGGAAGCGATTTACCTGTCAACCGCTTCCGAGGAGTCTCCCGTTCCCTCTCCCGGTTCCGATACGCTTGTTTCTCCGCTTTCCCCCCCGCCGTTTTTCACCCGCGCGGGCTTTTTTTTTTTTTTTGAACGTTCGATTTATAGCGTTATATCGCTATAACGCTATACCGGAAATTCAAACTCCAATGGGATCGCTATTGCGATGGTTTGGTGTTCCGGTATAGCGTTATATCGCTATAAATCAAACTTTAAAAAAAATTCGATCACCTGCGCGGGAAGAAAACGGCGGGAAAACGAAGCGGTGCGTGTGTGAAACGCCGAACCGCTTGTGAATCGGCTCCTTTCCGGTAGGGGAAAGCCGTGTGTGAAACAGCAGCCCTGTACCGGTTCATCTGGAAACGGAAGACTCCCGGTTTGAAACCGGGAGAAAACTGGTAATGTGAAATTCCCCAGTGTCTTGTTCCTTCATTGTAGCTTTGTGAATAGATGAGCCATATGCTGAAAGTTTCAGTTTAGGAACACAAAAAATTGAATATGCCAAATACTAGATTCCATATTTAGTCTGGTAAGGAATATCTGATAACAATTTACGGAATGGCTGATGATGCAATGTCATCTGATAAATACCTGGCATTCAGGACAAATGAAGCAAGACAAGCAGTTTCTTGAACCATTTCCAAGTCGGGGGAAGTGTTAGAAGAAGAAGAAGAAGAAGAGATTGGATTTATACCCCACCCTTCACTACCCGAAGGAGTCTCAGAGCGGCTTACAAACTCCTTTCCCTTCCCCTCCCCACAACAGACACCCTGTGAGGTAGCTTGGGCTGAGAGAGCTCTTGACAGAAACTGCTCTTTTTCAAGGACAGCTGTGCCAGAGCCTGTGACTGACCCAAGGTCACATCAGCAGGTGCAAGTGGAGGAGTGGGGAATCAAACCCAGTTCTCCCAGATTAGAGTCCGCACACTTAACCACTACACCAAACTGGAATTTTGTGCTTGTCTTCAGAAATGTTAAAAGCAATTATGGATCAGGGTGTGAAGTTTTTCATTTCTCTTGTACTTTCTCAGACTAGCCTTTCGTTTGTGCTGGTTCCTATTGTTTTAACATTCCTTGCGTCTTTTGGTCCCATTTCTATTGACTGCACATTTGTGGATGGGAAGTTTATCATAATTCTGCAGCATATAGCCATTCTAGGTGCTGTAAAATAACAGTTTTTAAATGCTTAACAACACTGTGTCTTCCTTGGCAGCCGTGGTGCCAACTTCTTAACTCAGGTTCTTCTGCGGCCGGGTGCATCCGACTTAACAGGAAGCTTCAGGTATGCTGGCTTAAATGTGGTATTTGAATGTCTAACAGTGCAGTTGAAGAGTTGGATTGGCTAATACTAGAACTAGGGGGCACCCAGTCACGTTGATGGAGAAACAGGTTCAGGACAGGCAAAAGAAAATACTTCTTTACGTAGTGAGTAATTTAGCTAGAATTCACTGGCAGTGGGGGAGTGATGATCATGAAAGGGCTTTAAAGGGGGATTAGACAGATTCATGGAGGAGACGTCCATCAGTGGTTACTAGCTGTGGTGAGTAAAGGGAACCCATATATAGAGGCAACAAGCCAGTGAATGCCAGTGCTTGGGAGGCAGCCTCAGGGGAAGTCCTTGGCCTCTGTGCCCTGTTTGTTTGGCCCTCTGGGGCGTCTGGTTGGCTGCTGTGTGAAACAGGATGCTGTACTAGATGGACACTGGTCTGATCCAGTATGCTGTACTGATGTTCTTACAGATCCAGACTAAGTTTTCTGCTAAAGTAACAGGAATTGTAAATTATGCCAATCCTGCTGCAGTCCCCTGTTTGCCCCCATGGCTTTCCTGAGGGTCTCTATTTCCCAAGGAGCAGCATTTTGGGGGGGATTGGTGGGCTGCGGTAAATGGGAGGAGGTAGAAGAGTTCTGGAAGTGCCTTCTGTCGGCAGAAAATTTACTCTAGATCCAGCCCCTTATAAACCCATTGATTTCCATGGATATAGAACTGTGCTTAGGGTGGCATTTTAAGATGAGCAAGAATTTATCAAATGAATGGCACTACTCTAAGCTGTGCTTCTGCTCTGCTCCAGGACTTCTGTCAGGTAAAACAGCTGTGGGCAGCCTGTTCCCAGGCCACTTTTTTGGGGGTGGGGGAGGGGGCATACCTGGGCAAGTTCCTCAGCTCAATCTGAGGCCAAATGCAGGAATCAAATCAAGAAACGACATTTTAACCTGTAGTTCCTCATTGATACAACTTCAGTCTATCTTTCCTGTAAACCAGTGGCAGGTGGCAGTTATGTATTGGCTCCTGTAGTAAGTTCTCAAAGCGTTTTGTGTGCGTGACTGAAATGTTACCCCAAAAATCATTTATTTTTATATAGCAAATTGTAAGTAGAATCCTATTATGTCATTTCCGCACCCCTTATTGTGTCCTGTTAATACGTATGCCGTGCTTCCATTATTTCTGGCGGTTCCAGTCGTCTAATATCCTAACGCATTAGTTGTTGAATATCCCATTTTGTCAATTGTACTGATTCACTGTGTATAATCCTCCCGGAGTCCATGTGAGAAAGGCCAATAAGTAAATTTAATGTCTGCTTACAGGTTATACAGAAAAGAGGTTTTACAGAAGCTAATGGAGAAGTGTGTTTCAAAAGGATATGTTTTCCAGATGGAAATGATCGTTCGGGCTAGGCAACTGGAATACTCTATTGGAGAGGTATACTACTGATCTGACAAATAAGCAAAGCACTAATTTTCACTTTTGTATTAAGTAGTTCCTAGACTCCTAATGGCCTGCCAGGTGAAAATGCTTAGGAAGCATAATTCCATCTGGAGTTCAATTAAGGTTAATGAGAGAAAACTGAGATCTTGGTTGCTGATAATCAACAAAGCAAACTGAGAATGACTCGATCTAGTATCATATCAGGAATTGCATAAATTGTGTCACGGGCATAATGGAGAGCCTGATACTTAATGACCTACAAATGAAGCAGTCAATTGCCGAAATGTGTAAACAGTTTTATCCTTCGTGATGATGTGCCCTTAGTGCTGAGTTGAAACATTTCCCCACGGTAGGACTGTATTCACAAAAAATCGTGGTAATTAGTTTGGTCAGTTGTTTGATATAGCCTGGTGCCTTCTATTCTTGTTACAGCTGCTGAGTCGGAAGAAGTACACAGAAAAGGACAGGCTGTGGTGTAGTCCCATCATTCCTTGTTTTTGTTCTTCTTCCAGTGGCAGCTTGGAGACCAACTATGCATTTGGGTTTTTAAACTGGGGCTCCTTGCAGCCATTCCAGAGGTGCGAGGAATAACTTTTTAAAAATAAAGGAGAGCCAAAATGGTCTCAGGACACAGCCATGGGAGGAGAAAAGGCTCCTGCCCCCCCCCCCACATTTTCCCATGCTGAACCAGCACTGGGAGGGAGTTGTTTCAGCACAGTTGCAGCACGAGAGATGGCTGGGGGGGGGGCAGGAGCACCTCCTCCCCCTGCTGTGGGGTTTCACACCCATTTCGACTCTCCTTTATTTTTTTTAAAAACCATTCCCTGCAATTGTTGTGTGGCTGCGGGGACCATTAGTTGGATCCAGGGAACCCAGACCCAGCTCTTAAAAAGCTTGGTGCTTGGACTTTCATCTTAGCCTCACTGCTGTTCAAGGTTCGCTGCTGTTCATACACTGGGGATAAAGCTTAGCGCATTCACAAGTACTGCACGTGCCACTGTGCCTTGAAGCATCTTAACTAGTAACACAAGATTTGGGGTGGACCTTTTTGCTGGAATAAATACATCACCGATTCTATATGCTTTGTTTCAAGAAGCTTAAACTGCAGTGGGTCAGGATGCTCCTGTGAGGGGAAGAAAAATCTTTGTCTGGTTCCACATCAGAGACGTTCTTGAAATGATTCCTTGCTTTAATTATAATTATACAATCATTTCTTACTAGCCTCTTTATCATACCACTAGCACAGGAGTAGCTTGTCAGTATTGAAAAGAAGCTCCCTCAGGAGCTCTGGTGTTTTTTCCCCTGACTTCGTGCCCTTGTCTGTGAGGTGACAGATGATATATCAGGAAATCTGCCTTGGGCTCTGTGCTGGCAGAATAAATGATTTTTTGAGATGGAACA